AGGAATCCGCCGTCGTCTTTTGGTGGAACCGACCTTCGAATCTCTTCACCAAACACTTTCACTCGAACTGGAAGCAAGCTCAACAGATGTTATTTCATTTTTTCTCCCTGCCTCCGTATTTTAAACAGAAATGGTCTACTGGTAACTACACTATTCAGTAGTCTGTATATTTAATCGGCAATCAAACCCTAATTCGTCGCTTCTAGACTCGCTTTTGGCCTCGGCAACGATAGGCCTGAAAATAAAAACTAAATATTATTATCTCCTTTTTCCACTCCACAAAACAGCTGTGGTGCGTAAAGGATATCCCAACGAATGTGATAAACTTGATCCTGATCGACACCCACACGATCGAGCAATTCCGGTAAGCAACGCCTAGGCACCCATGTGCCTATGAGCGCCTGATTACAATATGCACTTATTAATGTGTTATGTAAAATCATGTTATTTTTCTGTTTTCTCATCATTTTTCCACTTTGAAAATGTACGAAATCTAATCGGCCTATACCGATACCTTTTTAGGGTTCTGGGAACGTTGTCAAACTCTGCGGAATTCGCCAAAGCCTTCAACTGCCCGCTGGGAAGTCGGATGAATCCAGTCGAAAAGTGCAAAGTCTGGTAGCCCCCTGCCCCCCACCACCACCCCCACCTCCACCCCCATTCTTCCACCTACACTCACTTCAGCATAGTTTGTTCGGCTGTCTGTGATTGTGTGGCCTGACAAGATCCACCTCACAGGCGCCTGGGCAACAGACATACTGTGTCCATGCTTATCGCTGATCTACGAGTATTTGTATGTGCCTCACTGTGTATCTCATTAACATCTGTCCAGCTATGAGCAGACGCAAACAGAAATGACGACTCTATCCTCAACTTCTCCCGCGTACAGCCTATCAGTTGTGATTCTAGATCTGTCGTCTCCACCTGAGAAGCATGCTGCATGAGATTAGGCTGAATAGCCTGTGCACGAAAAGGCCAGGTTTAAGGGGAAAAATATACATATGCCTACACAACAACCCATCTCTTCTGTTCACAGTTCAGGATTTATAACCCGAGATTCACTTCTATTTTTATTCCCTACCGCCCTCTCTGTATCGACTTCTGCCCACCTTTGCATGAACGGATGAGCATGTATAATTGAATAGCCCCTTCAACTGGCCCCATTCACCCGGAAATTTCTTCACTCATTACTTACCCTTCGTCAACCCCACATGCTTTTTGCAGACTTTAACCCCTGTTCCATGTTTACCCGGAAAAAATGGCAAAAGTATGAGCAAATACATAACCTCGAGTTAGGCCGCCGAGATGTAGAAGCGATATTCAGTGATTGCCAGCACCCAATGCATAAGTTAGCCGCGCTAAAATCGCGCCCAAAGGCAGACAGTTGTGTGTATCTAGTCGGAAGAGTGTGTTTTGCGCAGTCGACTGAGTAAAGTATACTTTTGCCCAATTTCTATATATACTACTCTTTTCATTCAAGTAGTGTTCATAATTTGATAAAAATAATAATACAGACCATTTGCCTCGCCATTAAAAAAAAATCTCGGCCAAATAATACCTATATGCGTTGTAAGTTGGTTTTAGCACTATAATTCTATCATGAATAACAACGAGAAGATAAGTTGTCTACACGATGTAAATGACTTCCAGTTAGTCTTGCCTCTAAAAAAAGTTGTACCTTTAGGAAAGGACTAGACTGGACGACACAGGACAGCCCGAACTGGTTGCCTTGAATGATAATCAGACCTGGTTTTGCAGTGTATGCATTCGACATGTTACTACTACTCTACATTGCCACAGTTGAGGCGGAAATATCTTTGCATTTCGTATCCTTTTTCCGAGCATTTTCATAAGGTTGCGACGATCCAAGGGCAGGTCAGACGCCAAAGCACTTGAACGTGGAGGCTCGGTTCTCAGACGGAGACTGTGGCCAAACGTTTCCACTTTCTCATGATCAAAACTCTGCAAGGCCTCGTCGAACAACTACTGGCTAGCAGAACAACAAGTCTCAATTTGGGCAAAACGACAAAATAGTTTTTACAATATTTGACAAGAGGACTCGACCGAAATAAAAATAAAGGCAGACAAGAAAGGGAGACCAACGAGATATGAGGACAAAAATGTACGATTTGTTCAATATACACACCGACAAACTAGCATTGTTCAAACTTTTTCTACAAAATTTACCAAGGCTTGATGCTTCTTTGCGGTCACCGGCGCGTAGAAACATACAACAAAGTGGTCGTGAAAGTGGTGTTCGCTTGTTCTGTGTGCACAATGAACGGCCAATGTGCAAATTCAGGCCAGCAACGAGTAACGAGTTTGCAAAGATATAAAAATATGTTTGTTCTTGGATTACAGAAAGCCAAAAATTACAGTTAGCATGTGTCAGGAGTAGCGGCCAGGATAGAGGAGATGATGGGGGGGCGGATGTTTCGGGACAATCTGCAGCCAAACTCTGTCCTCCCAGGGGACCGAGGGAGAACATCTTGAGTGGGCCTCCAGGCCGGCCAGTGTTGGTAAAGTTATGGCCTGACCAGTTGGATCCTTCCATAGAAAGGCCCGCAACTCTGCCTCCGAGCTCTCACCAAAGCGAGCACTTGTGCGCTGGATTCATGCGCGAACCGACAGGACACTTAAAAGCGTTGGCAAACTCCGCCAAGTTCGAGAGAACTCCGATGACTCTGTCAACAGATTTCGGCATAAAAACAGTATTCACGACTTTGCGGCCAGTGGCACTGCATAAGAATATCTATCAACTTTAGGCTAATTTATTAACAAACAGAAATTTGCCTAAAACTAAGTAAAATTACCTGTATTGCTCTGGAGAATGAGGGTCGTAAAAGATGTTGTTAATAACTTCTTGTGGTAGCTCGTTTGCACACCAGCTCTACAAAACAAACACTAATCGTCATTATTCCTTCAGATGACTACAAAATTTAAAACGAAACAATAGTTAAAAAGCAAATTATAAAGCAATATTTGTAACACTCATTTGATAATTATGCCCAGTATTCAATGGAGGGCTTTATAATGTATGATAGTATGTATTAATTATAGACTACATATGATTCATAATATTATAAATAGGTAGAATATTGAATAATACCATCTATTAGATTACAGGATGTATTTAATACCAATAGGCATATTGTGTGTAGATATAAGAAGCAAAGTGGTTTGCGCAACATGAGCATGTGTAGAAGAGACTATTAATAAGTAATATGATAGATATTCAACCTATTTCGTTTAAGGTGATGAAGGACTGGTGGTAGAATCTTCCCCCAAGGAAATGAGTAGAGCTGACGTTTCCATTGAATTTCCCATAGCGTTGCTTTCCTTGAAATTCACATCTGCCCTATGACCCAAGGGCACTCGTAGCAATGTGGTCTATTGGTTAACGTGTCAAGCTCCCATTCCGCACTGTCGCGGTTCGAATCCCGCTGGAGGTGTTGATAAGACCGATGCGAGGTCGAAACTGCAGTCCACTGGTGCCTGGATGAGAACAACTTTTGCGAAAGCAAGACAATGTGAAATTCAATGGAAGCGTCAGCTCTACTCATATCATTTTGGGAAGATTCTACTACCAATCCCTCTTCACCTTAAACGAAATAGGGTGAATACCTCTCATATTACTGATTAACTGGTAGTCTCGAAACTCTACTCACAAACTAATAAGTATACCGGTTCAACGTCGTCCATTATCATAAACTGTGCCAACCGGAAAGTCTTATTAAAGCCAAACGGCTGAAGTAAAGCAGGAATCAGCTGTCACCTTCTCATTAGATCGACCTTCGAATCTCTTCTTCATGCACTTTCATACGAAATAAAAGTCCCCACAACAAAAGAGTGGCATTGAAGATATGAAGACCAAGATGTTGTGGCCTCTGGTATGATCACAATATCCTTTCGATTTATAAAAGTGGGTC